GTGGATACCTTCACTAGTAGGACGCGTTTTGGTGAGCTAGCTTCCAAAGGCAAACTGTGAGGGAATGATCTGGTGTATACCCAAAGCAGACAATATCCTACTACGGGTTGACGGGGCTGTTACAGTGGTATCAGAGCCAGGTTCCTGGATTGATGTGCCAGCGAGGACGCTGGGCCCTCCAAGGGGGTGGATTCAGATATCCCACATCAGTTGTGAAGGAGAATGAAGCATGCCTTATAAGTGGCTATGGATACCTTCACTAGTAGGATGCGTTTTGGTGAGATAGCTCCCAAAGGCAAAACCATGAGGGAATGATCTGGTGTATACCTAAAGCAGACAATATCCTACTACGGGTTGACTGGGCTGTTACACTCAATCCGCCAGTGTTCATTCCAGCAGAATCCTTCTATCCATAGTGCGTCGAGGAGTAGCAGCCGAGGGGTCGCAGCAGGGCGTTCGTAATCCATTTGTCGAGTCATCGTTCGTTCGTTTAATCGTCCCCTCTATTGCCAACCGAGATTGTAGATTCCCTAAGGTGGGTAATCTGTTTCGAACCTTCTTGATATATTCGTGCTCGTGTTTATTTCGTTGGCTAATTAATGTGATTAATCAAATTCTTTGTTGAAGTCGGATTTCGTATCAGTTCGTATATTTTGGTTGTTCGTTTAGTTTTTCGTGAAAATATTTGTTGATTGTTGGAAGCCTCGCTCGTTGTTCCAGCCTCGTTATATTTTAGGCAAACCGCCGTTGTGTCATTGGGTGTTCATTTATTTCGTTCGGGCCATATATATTATCGTTTCGTTTTTGAGCCTAAGACCCGTTTTTATAAAATTCTTGAACTGTGAAAATTATGTTTATTTTCGAATTTTCTGGAATTTTTAGAGCCTTGGTCGAGTTGATATTTCTGTTGCCGAGAGTTTTTCTTGTTCTTGCAGTTTGTATATTTTTTAGGAAATTGCACCCCTTACTAACACCTTTAAATTATATTACACCTTTCCATCCAATATATATTTATTTTAAAATTAGCTAAAGCAGCTAAAAAATTATCAAATCTACCTAAAACACACTTAACCGTTATTAATATTTTTTGTAATGGTAAGGAGATAATTAAGTGAAATTAAATGTCAACTTACCCAAAAAAAAAGTGGAAACAAAAAGGTAAAAGTAACCACCCCCACCGCCCCACGTTCCTTTTTGCAGAAACCGCTTAAGTTTTTTCTCCCATTTCAAAATTTAATGGCAAAAACCAAACTCCCTCATCCAAATCGAAACATTCCAGTAGATGGTGGCGACGTTTCACCGGTTATAAGATCAAGTGCCCAGCTCCGTAATATCCTCCCAAAAAATCAACCAAAACTCGTTAAAAAAAACTAATTTTCAAGAAAAATTCAAACCCTAAACCTAGTCGCAAGTTTTCTGGCAAGGCGAGAATGAAAAAACCAATTTCGTCTCCCAATTCAGACGACTTCCAGTCAGACCCAAACAAACCGAAAAAGCATCGGCGACCTCGTAAACTTGAGAAGCCAACCCGAGTTTTGAGCGATGAAGACCCTGAGTTCGAGTGTGATAGCCAACCCGAAGAAACCGGAAGAGAAGAAGATTTGGAAGAAGAAGGCTCCCCGGTTGAAATGCCGACGAAAAAAAGAAAGAAAAGGACCAGAAAAGAAAGAGACGAAGCCAACATATTGAAGAAGAGAAGAATGGCCAACACTGATGTCACAAATCCCACTAGAGATTTTCAGAAAGGAATAACATATAACGTAATTTATATGATTATTTGAAGTATTTTTGTTTACTGTGTTCAAATTGTTATAATATATTGTGTGTTGTTAGTGGTCCACACTTTAATGGTGGAACTTCATTTTTTCTGTGTACAGTCCTACTAAGATGTTGATGTTTGGCAGCTTGTTTCTTATGTCTCTAATCAAATGTTAAGGGCCCACGCAACTTGATTTCACTTAAGCAACAATTTTGATTCGATTTTTTTGCCTTAATTGGTATGTTCACTGATATGGCTTGTTTTTTGGATTGTATTCCAATTTTTCATGATATTTTTAACAGTATGAATATACTGTAATTGATACAACTTCATTTTACGTGTAGTTAGTATAATTCAAGTATATGTTGGACATGTTTAGTATGTGTTGAGTAATTTTTGTTGTATTCTAACAATTATATGTGTGGAATGTTTTTTTGTGGTTGTTCTTTGTTAGTATATAGTCAGTATAATCTGAGCATATGTGGGATCTGTTATTGACTATTGTTTATGGAATTCCAACAATTTATATATGTGGACAATATGTTAGTAATATTTAAGTTTATTTACTGGTACACATCAATCTGCCATTGTGTTTGCAATCATGTAGTTTTTCTTGTCGAAATTATGTTATGTTGGATGTTCATTACAAATTCAGTATATTGTTGGTATATTCAAGGTCTATTGCAATGATAGTCCTTAAAAGTTTAATTCTTTTGTCATATAATTCTACTGCAATGCTCAGTATATTTGTAGTACAACTTCCTAATATATGCAAGTTTTATTTGCATGATTTTAAGTTAATAATACAACTATTTGTCACAACACTTGGTTTTTAATTGCAAGTCATAGTTTTTAGTATATTTCAAGTATATTGAACTGAACATGCTTCTTTGCAGGGCATTTTTTTCGGACTTTTTCTTTATCTGAATTTTCTCACTATATTAGTAATTCATACATCATTTAATTATTATAGTTGGTTGACATTTTTCTTTATAATATATATGTTTATTATTTTTCATTTTTTCAGGAATAGTAATTTCTCATCCCGCCCCCAGGAACATAAATGTGAAGGTCCAAACAGCAACGATAACAGCAAAGATCGATCCACGATAAACGAAATCAAGAGGAGTCTTACGACTGAACAATTGGAAGCTTTTAAGAGTTCACCATTTGGGAAGTTACTGGATCTCCCTCACTGCATTGTACATAACCAACTCATCAACCAAATACTTTTACATGAGGTTCATCAGAGTAGGAGTGACTAGTTTTTGTTCGATTTCAAAAGAAAGTTGCTTCGTTTCGGGATAGAGGAATTTGTTGTTATAACCGTATTGAAATGCATCGGAAAGAGCAAAAAATTGAATATTCCAAAGATCTCCGGTGGTCTACATGACAAGTATTTGGATGGCGTAGAATTGATCCGCAACCACATCAGGTTGCAATTTCTTATGAAATCATGGTCCAGTGATGAGGATGCGGTGAAATTTGCCAAGCTACACTTACTGGCAAATTTCCTGATGGGCTCACAAGACTCCCTTCGCATAGACCGCTGCTATGTTGACCTGATCGACAGTCCAGAGTGCGATGATCACGCTTGTGGGAAAGAATTTTTTGAGTTTACTCTTTACTATCTGAAGAAGTCAATTCATATTAAAGAGCAAATGCAAAATTTGAGAAGCTCGAGGGTGCTGGATCTCTGTACAGGTGTTATGGACTTATCTTGGCTCTCCAGACGTGGTTCTACGAGGTGTGTGACACCACTGAAGGTGTAGTATGCACCTCCATTGATGACCATGATATTCCGAGGATATTGAAATGGGGAGTTCGCGACAGCTGTAACCTCATTTTTCTGTAGAGGACCTTATTAAATCTCCCCCACTCCAAGGTAATTGTTACTGTTATGTTAGATTTATTTATTTCGTTGTCAATAAGCTTTTTTTAATCTCTTTCCTTTTTTTCCGAAGATAGTATATGTCAGTGATAGTATATGCCAGTTATATTTAAGTATATTTGTCAGTAAATCTATTGTTTTAAATCTCTTTTCCTTTGTTTTTTGTTTCTATTGCACAGTTTAAAAACATTGTTTCTACGGAGACCGAAAAACAGACTCTTTCGTTGGACTCATTTTTAAAAAAAAATAAAAAAAAATTAAGTTCACTCGGAATGAGATTCTATCAAGCCCCAGTACTCAGCATATCAATGACGTTGATGTCATAACCTGTCTCGACTCAATCAGCACTGAACTGGAGAGCTTGAAGTAAGCCTTTTTCGAATTCTCGAGACTTGTTTTGGCCGCATTTGAGTTGTTCAAAGAAATATTCGTTGTAAGTCATTGTTGATATTCATTTGAATTTGTGGTTAGTGAATTTGTGCTGCACGTACGATATATGTGGTCAGCTAACACACATTGATTATGAGTTGGGGTACTTTTTTATGTAATTCTAATAATTATGTTAGTATATGTTAGTCAAATTCAAGTATATGTGAAATATGTTTATTATGTGTTGGGTATTCTTCATATAATTCTAATAATTAAATGTGTGGACTGTATGTTAATAATATTTAAGTTTATTTACTAGTGCTTATATCATAGTTCCATTGTGTTTGCAGTCAAGTAGATTTTTTGTCTTAAATTGTGTTTTGTGGTTGATCACTACACCTGTAGTATATTTTCGGTATATTCAAAGATTATTGCAGTCACGTAGTGACACTATATGTGCTTTATGGTTTTTCTTAGTATATGTTATTCATTTTATGTTCTTTTTTAGGGTGGATTGTATGTTCATTTTATGGACTGTATGTTCATTTTATGTTATCAATCTTCATCTCATCCTATTAACATTATACATTAGGGTGGTTCAAGTAAAGACCATCACACCGACAAAGGAAACACGAGCAAAGTTCAGGATGTGATTGAAATGCCCGATGATAGTATTCACAGTTCAGCGGAAAAAAAAAGACGGTTTGTTTTCTCGATAATAATATTTATTGTCCATATCACATTTTAGTTAACAACTCTATTAAATTAGGCTTTCTGACATTGTGTTAATGTTATTTTTTTTTATATGTTTGTAGCCTTTTCCAGAAGTCATCTGATGTTAATGTTGACCCTACAAATGAGGTTTCATTATCTTTTTATTGTTTTCCTATATCGTTATTGGTTTATGTATATGAATTACGAGTTTCTGTGTTTATATCTTCTTTTTTTTTGGAATGCCACATTATTTTTTTGAAAAAGCAGATGAGTGTCAAATCTCCCGTAAGAGCCTTGAGAACCAAATCAGAAGCACTCATGAAGAGCGCAGCAGACAAGGTAAGCATATCATGTTACAAAGTATCCCCAACTTCATATGTCATTACATGTCCCACATTTTATTTTATTATTACGTTCTTTTTTTTGTTAGTTTGTACTAGTTCAAAATTTGCCACAGCCCGATATCCATGTATCAGTTCAAAATTTGGCCCAGCCCGATATCCATGTACCAAGTGTTGCCGATGACGATGACACATTCCCCTTGATTAACACCCAATTCTTAAAAGAGATTGACAGAAATGCACAAGAAAAGTTAAATGAAGCATCCAAGGGGAAAGAACCGGTAAAAATACACCTGGTGTAACTAAGTATATGTTAGCCATATAAATACATATTATTACACAAGTGGGATTTATATAAAAACTTATTAATATTTGTTTTGGTATGCAGAGAGGTTTCGACTACGAGCCACACCCCGTCTTTGGTTTCGCAATGAAGGGATCGTTGCCGTCTTTTGATGCTATAACTGTCGGTCTACCACCACGCCGCCATCCAAGAAATGCTATTCCAGCGATACACAATAATGTAGCTTTAAACACTTCAATTGTTATTATTTTTAACATCTTCAATTTTTGTATATGTAGTGTAATAATAATTTAATGTTTTTATATGTCACTATCATCAGCCTGCTCCAGTCGAGACGAATGTAGTTGGAGAGGGATTGAACCCAAAGCTAGCCAAGGCACAATATACCAATGTTATGGTTGTGTATATTCCAAAGATAGAAGCAGTGAAACCAACCTCGAAGCCTAAGAAAAAATTGAAGAATGAAAAGTTTTCCGAAGAAAAAGGTACGACTTTATAAATCATGCCCATTTGACGTCGCTTTAGACATAGCTGTTTCTGGAAAGTGGACACGTCGAACTACAGGAACTGGATTGCTGACGAGCTGCTCAAGACTGCTCCTCGTAAAGTCGAAACCGGGTACGTGAAACCGCAGCCGTTACGTTTATATAAATATACTTGACATATACTTTATATACACCAAAACTATTATTTACATATATCATACATATACTAATAAATTCTCACCACATTGTCAGGCTCAATTACTAAAAGAAAAAGAGCAAGACATTGCCCCTACCATTTGACTTCAATGTTGCTGCGTAACGGACAAAAACTGGTTTTACCACATCCACGAGATAGGATGTTTCCTCGACAGCAGCGTAAGTACCATTTTGTTCTACATTTATTTTATTTTTTTAACATGTTGTATATAATTTTTTAATATAATTTATCTGGTTTGTGTGTTGTTATATAATTTATTTTCTTCCCTTTTTTTCCCACTGATTCAACATTTTTTCTACTTATTCGACATCATTTAGTATTTAGTTATTATACTTTAAGTATATATGTGGGACATGTTTATTATGTGTTGAATATATATATATTTTTTTTGAGTTCTAACAATTATATGTGTTGACTGTATGTTAGTAATATTCAAGTTATCTACTAGTACATATAATTGTTCTTGCAGTTAAGTAGAGTATGTCTAAAATTGTGTTTGTGATTGTTCATTTTTTTTAGTATATAGTTAGTACAATTCAAGTATATGTGGGATATGTTATTATGTGTTGAATGTTTTTTATGTAATTCTAATAAATAACTGCGTGACATTTGATTCTTATTTGACAGCACTTGGATGTCATCTTCTATTACTTGAGGAAGATTGGACTTTATGCTAAAAGTGCTCCTGTCAGGTACACAACGACTGATGTGTTGTTCGACCAACACATTAAGTCGTTGTACGCATTATATTTGTTCGGGTCTCGTAACCATTCGGTCTGCAATGTTGATGATATGATCACTTACTACATCTTGGGGTATAAGATAATATGTCGAGTCTCTTGGTTGAATGTTGATCACGTTCTATTCCCCATTCATTTAAAAATAAATGGAGTTGGTCATTGGATTTTGGGACGCCTTTCTTTTGATAATATGAACTTCATATATACAATTCAATTCGCATAGAAGATTGCGATAAATTGTTATGGAGAACGTGCAGACGTATGTTGAGATTATTCTCATTTTCCTTCGATTGGTGAAGTTTTCGAGAAAAAGATTGGCCAGTAACGACAATCTTGATGTTGTAATGGTTGATAATCTACCCCAGCAGCACAACAGGTTCCATTTTTCTTTTAAATGTTTTACGTATGTATTTATTGCTATTATTATTATTATTATTATTATTATTATTATTATTATTATTATTATTATTATTATTATTATTATTATTATTATTATTATTATTAATCTTATTACTATTAATAATTTATAATGCTTATATTTTTCTTGTATGGGCAGCGATTGCGGGGTGTTCGTTGCATCGTTTGCCGAACATTTCATTTTGGGTCATGACATTACCAAGAAAAAGTTTGACGTCAATTCTCAAAGAGAAAGGTATGGATATCTACTCTACACTTATGGCCGAATGAAACATATTAATGAGTGCGATAGTGACGACGAATCCCCCCTTAGTGTCCCTGATGAAATTCGGTTCGGTTTTATGGATACGGGGAAAACATTGTAGACCGTTGTTTTTTTTTTTTTTTTTGTGGTGTATTTGACAATTTGGACGTGAACTTATTTTTGTCAAAAAATTAGCATAGGACATTATGACTGGTTATATGTTGGGTATATCCAGTGTAACCTTTCTCTTTTTATTTATGATTATATGTTTGGTATATCCAATGTTATTGTTCCATATTAAGAAAAAATTCGAACTTATAATCTTTCTATGTTATTTATCTGGTTATATGTTGGGTATATCCAATGTAACCTTTCTCTTTTTGTAATTAGTTTGATACCTAAGTTGAATTTTTTTTGTCCTTTTTTTTGCACTTAATATGGGTATATTTTGATGTATATGAATTTGTGATTGCCTGATGTTACGGATCAGTTGAACTTACACTCTTTTTATGTTTAATTCTAATTATATGTGGGGTATATGCAATGTCAAGTTACATTTTTTCATATATCTTTATACTCACCCATAATATAACACAAATATACTCATATTACTCTCCAGAATAATGAATTAATAACGATTCAAATTATACATAGCAATTATTGGACTCTCATCTTTTCGGATTCCTACAAATTTTCACATTGTGCCTTTTCTCATTACACTAGTTACACCTATTTTTTGACCTATGCTCCCATCCCGACTTTAACCCTTGCTTGCGAAGTTGCCCTGACCTTACTCGTGCATTTGGGGGATTTACCAATGTGCGGTCAGATTGTGCGTCACTCGTGAATGCTATATTTCCTTCAATTGGTATAACAACATCCTCATAAGTTGTCAACATTGTAGAGTTTAGGTAATCACAGAACAGAATAGAACCGGATCCAAGTGGAGTGACTTTATAACACGTATAGCGTGCTGGCACAGTAGCTCATCAATTTCAAAACGGTGGCATGTGCAGGACTTTGACTCTGTGTCCACTATAAAGGCTTTACCGTCTGCTATCACTTTATACACTTTGTCACTGGCTTTCTGCACCTGTTACATATTTTAGTATATGTACAGTATATGTTTGGTATATATAAGCAATAAGTCACGAAAAACAAAAAAAAAAAAAA